AAAGTTCAAAATCTCGATAAAATGCTGTCATTCTCAGACATCAACAAACCATCTTTTCGGAAACAGGGGATCAAGAAAAGAATACTCCTGCTGTGTTACTCACTGCATGTATCGTAATAGGTGACTAAAGTAGTAACCCCATGCAGAAATGTGGATCTTCTTTTGTGCCCCCTAATTGGGAACACAATAGTGAGCAAAAAAAATCTGCTGCAGTATTTTGGATCTATAATTTTGTTCTTACTTCTAACTAATATTTAACGTTCGCGAAGGCGAGGAAGGAAATGGGTTTTGTCCCCAGCCCATGACAAACCAATTCCCTTTAACTGATATTTATTATTTTCCTGCTAAATGTTTAGGGTAAAAGCAAAAACTGGTTCCGCGTTGTCAGTATAATGTGACCAAAGCAGCCAAATAGAACAACATACCCTTTATCCTTCAACATGCATGGAGGCATTTAATTAAATGATCTCAGCTGTTACAACCTTAACAACCAACTGGAAAAATATAAACGATTGTTCAGAACTACTATATTTCTGTGCACACTCCACCTAGGATATGAACACTCAGCATGATTAGTTGTAAATGTAAACAAAAACTATCTTATAAGGTGGAACCAATTTGTCCGTACTAACAAGGTTATTTGATAAAACTGTGTGACGGGACGGACCGCTTTCGCTGTACTAAGTACATACACAAGTATATTTAGTAGGTCAATATATCAGATTTAATTGTGTTAATAAACAAACCCTTTATATATTCACATTCACAAGGTGTCGTTTTGCATTCAATCTACCGAATAGACCAAACTCTTATATCTAGACTTACTAATGTATAACTTTAAACTTACACACAAATGAAAGAGTAAATACTATACTACACAAATATCAACTACAATGTGCTCTAAATAAGCAATTAACAAACACACCAAGTTATTCAAAATGGTCTGGTTCCGCACTACACACGTTCTAATGAGTGTGTCTTCCTAATTGGTCAAATGTCTGTACAGATTATACATTTATTTTAGAAATATTCATGTTTTATTCATGAATCCCTACATGTACAATGAAAAAAATCTTAGAAATAAAGAACCTTTCTAAATGTGATCGTCAATTTGCCAATAGAAATCAGCTCAGCCAAACCAAGTAACAGGCATTGACAGGGTGTTATCTAGTCGTGTTGATTAATGCTACCTTATACTAGGTGAGGCCATTAAGCGTACCGAATGAAAGGAAAATACCTATTAATGTTATGCGGAAAAGTCTGTCAGCTACGCAATTAAAGGGGTGAATTTAATACAGAAGGGATAGTTATTTACATCGATAAATACTTTTCTTTTTGAATAAGGTGACATAAGGTCAAGGCAATTATGTCGCTTATTGCTTATAATTTGTTGAAATTAATGTAACTATATGACCTTAAGCGAAGTGAAAACAATGACCTTTAGAAGCTAAAAAGCTTTTTGATTTGAGTTGGAAGCACAGGTAAATATAAACATAACCAGGATGTAAACATACAAACACAAAAACACACATATGTATGCACAATGTATACACCGTTCATATACTTCCTGGATGTCAGACCATACGACAACATGAGGAACGGCTTCCTTTCTCAAGTTGTCTTTTTTCTACAGTTGGTAGCAAACTTAACTTGGTAGCCTAGTGAACTAGAGTTAACAAGAAAAGTGAACTAGCTTGTGCACTGGATTTAACACTGAGGTGAACTGGAGTTCGCATCAATGTGCACTGGAGTTAACAACAGTTCACAAGGTAATTTTCCTTATCATATTATGTCTGGCCTTTTTATCAGTTTATATATACTACGATGTTCTACCCTCCCGTCTGCTCAATAAATCAATAAATCAATAAAATATTAGATGTTACATATTCATATACCTAAAATGATTTAAGCAGTATCCGTTTATTAAAATAGCATAATAACTATAGAGCGTGATGACCGATTAAATTATTACCACATGCATCGACTTGGATCCATGGTACATGTATAAATACATTGGTGGTTCAAAGTGTATAATACTTTGTCTTAAAGACATAATCACCATTAAAGTTCCTTTATAGTCATAATATAATTACGTCTACATTAAACATACAAATCTATCATTATATTATTAGTACATGAAAGTGAGTCTTTTTCTGAATGTTCATTTTGGAAAAAAATGGAAAGCTTATGTAGGTAACTTCATGTACTGTGAATAAGAAAAAATACTATAAATATATGTATTGTCTCATTCATGATGGGTAACAACGTACTGTAGTTACAGGAATGCAGATCTGAATTCCAACAAAACATTGTTAATAAACCATATAAATGGTTAATAAATCATAATTACAAATATCACATCAATATTGCAACATAACATCGTTATAGAGTTAAATGTTTAGTATCAGTATAAAAGTATCACAGAATGCGTTCAAACTCTGTCATATGCACTGGACCACACACAGCACCGTATCTGAAAATCGTAGTCTTTGAAAAACTCTTTAAGCAGTCTTTTAGGCAGTATTTGTAATGTCTTTTGAAACAGGATACGTACATATACATGTACTATAGATTATTCATAAAAATTCATGTAAAACAATATTTCATATTGCATTGCTTTTTTGTTATTTTCAATGTCAAGTTTGATAAATATGTATAACCTTTGACATCAGTAAAGTAGGTAATGGTACTCAGTAAACTCCATATTATCTCTGCGTGCTAGTAGGTAATGGTACTCATACTCAGTAACTCCATATTATCTCTGCTTGCTAGTAGGAAATGGTTCTCAGTAAACTCCATATTATCTCTGCTTGCTAGTAGGTAATGGTACTCAGTAAACTCCATATTATCTCTGCGTGCTAGTAGGTAATGGTACACATACTCAGTAACTCCATATTATCTCTGCTTGCTAGAAGGTAATGGTACTCAGTAAACTCCATATTATCTCTGCCTGCTAGAAGGTAATGGTACTCATACTCAGTAACTCCATATTATCTCTGCTTGCTAGTAGGTAATGGTACTCAGTAAACTCCATATTATCTCTGCTTGCTAGTAGGTAATGGTACTCAGTAAACTCCATATTATCTCTGCGTGCTAGTAGGTAATGGTACTCATACTCAGTAACTCCATATTATCTCTGCTTGCTAGTAGGTAATGGTACTCAGTAAACTCCATATTATTTCTGCTTGCTAGTAGGTAATGGTACTCAGTAAACTCCATATTATCTCTCCTTGCTTAGTCCCTTTCTGAAATGGTCTAATTTCGAAAGAAGTTCGATGTTTCGTTTCCTTAAGTTTTTTTTTTTTTCATTTTATATCTACAGTTATATAATTCGCTTAATAATATTTGATGATATTGATTTCAATGTTAGATGTCGAAAGCATATGAAACTCTAAATTAGATGAGGCATGAATCATTGGGATTATCTTTTACAAGTACTTTATTTACAAACATGTAATTTAGGCGTGTTAATTCATTTGAAAAGTAAAAACACACGTCAGTACACAAAACAAACCTGTTGATGAGGACCATCTTGGATGTCGACAGTACCGGTTTGCCATCACTATTTCCTAAGAAGTGCTCCAAGAGCCCCCATGGGATCACTTGTAAGAACTCGAGAATTCAGTGTTTGAACTCTAGTCTGAAAAGAATAGCCGACAGGTGACCCTTTTGGATTTTGACAGATACATGTAAGTTTGGTTATCTGTATTTCGCAGAAAGAACTAGAGGGGTCTCTCTTGAATTAAAATGTAAGTGTTCCTTGGTCTGTAGTTGGACATGTTTTATTCTGAGACTGACGGGGAAAACAAACTGGCCATGAGGCGGCTTTTTATTTTGACAGTTATGTTTTTTTCCACTATTTTCAGAAAGTACTGCTAGATATTTCTTAAAATGGATATATAAGTTCCCTTGGTCTTCAGTAGTGCCTGCTTACTATTGACACTGAGTGGGTGGAATATGGCCGACAGGTGGAAAAGTGGTATCACTCACATCGTGCCAAATATTCGTTGGGTTCATAAATGGTGTTGTTTTTCACGTGATAAAGCCCATATCTGTATTAGCCATTTCGAGTTAACGCATATGGATTCGTATCTTATCACGACAGCTCGCTCATTGCCACCAGCAAATGGATCATTTGCTTTGTCAGACATCGGCAATTTGTCATTGCGAGGGTACTTGACCTATATTAGGGTGCGAAAATTTATTTCCATTGTATGTAGGAGTTTTTTCCCGAGAATCGTCTACGATCCAATCGTGGTCATGGGAATTAACCTGTAGAAAATCCTAAAACTCTTGACAATTTAAACTTACAACAGTACTATTACCATACCAAAGTTCTCAATCATTTGACCATTTGAGTTGAGCGTTCACGGTAATGGGACGGAACTAGTGTTCTGTTAGTGATAAATATATGTATAACATGTAATAAGAAGTACGCAATATGTTAAATGTTGAATATGACGACATAAGGACAAACCTGTTTCTCTGCATTTTCTTAAACACCACACCTGTTGTATTATCGTTGCATATTTGATTACAGTAGTAAAATTAATTTCCAAAACAAACTTGACCGTTTCGACAAACAACAGCTTTATTTTTTATGAAATTCGATTGAAAACCAAGCCGTACACGTATTAATAAAATAATCTATTGTTTCATCAGGAAATATGTATCAATTCCATAAACTGGTGTTACACCATGAAAGGATAAAATTACCTCCTTTATGTTCATTATCACTTAACAATAAATCTTCTACTTGACAGAGTGTTATTTTTCAGTAATATCACACAAAGACGTCAAATTTAAGCATGAATTTGAGAGCAATCATCGAACATGGTAGTGATAGGAGATACCCAGTAGTATTGTTTAGATGCTAAACAACAATTGCTAAGACCAACGCCTTTGAATTTTGCACTTCAATACACGTACCGGGATGTTGCGTTACCTAATAATCCAATATTGACTGTGGTAACAGCATGATATCATGGGACATACATCGATATATGTGTAAGGCTATAAAAGTGTGCGAAATTTTGTTTGACGATAACATCTACTGAGAGCGACACCTCTATAGGTCTACCATAACTTACATATCGCTATTCGTTTTCCAAGTCTAAGACAATCATGGCAATCTTTGCTTTAGTCCTAGGCGTCATGATGTTGGTATCTACAGGTCTGTCTGCCGTATCACCGGCTAAAGGCAAGAAGCTGCAAACTGCACTGGAGGAAGTTCCTGTCGACCCAGAATAGGAATACGAATGTCTTTTGTTCCGTTTGGAAGACAAACTTAACAGGACAAACGAGAAAATTGCCAGGATAGAAAGAGAACTGAGGAGGAAACAAACTGGCAATTTCTAAGATAACAAAGATCATGCTTCTGATTAAATAATTTGATATGCAGGTAGTACTCTTATATTTAACGCTTTAATGTTACGATCGCTGTAAGAAAATTTATAATATATACAATGAAAAACATGTTTAAAGCATCAGGTATGATTTGTAATTAAAACTGTCATATTAAATAGCTTTTAACATATAGCAACTGTAATCCTAATTATTGAAGCGAACCCATAATACGGTGTAATTATCTACGAGTCGTTATATCCAAGTTTACAACATCCACAAAAACCGTAGCACCCGGCTGACCACAGCAACGGGATAAAAAAAACAAAGATTAGTTCATCCCAACATGGTTATACTATTAATTATTTTTAAATCGAACTAAGATAGTCTCAGGAAGAGAAAGCCAACATACATGTATCTATACCCAATTTAAACGGTACCTTGTCCGATACTTAAGTTCACCTTTGAGAGTTTTGATGTTAACACTGGACACTATTAATACTTGTATCATATAATCAACAAATAAATTAATGAAAATTCAGCAGATGTTAGTTCACTTCCCCATTTAAGCCAAAGTTAAGTACGTCATTCATTTCACGATAAATTCCACTATTTTTTATTTCATAGAAAATATTTTTTTTTTTTTTTTATTTCGATTATGTTTCACGAGATTGGTGAATATCGTGTTATTTTTTTCTCGAGTGCGAAGCTAATATTCAAGCCAGGATGAAAACGTCAATTTTGTTTTTACTGTTGGTTAGCTCTTGATGAAACAAGCTTTATAACCTTTCACACTTTATTTAGCCTGAACGTGTCGGATCCAATCTATCGCCAATCTTCTTTGTGCTATTCTCAGAATCGAAAAAATATCCAACCGTTATTAGGAAAGAAGAATACGTGTAGACCGCACTTTTAGTCCGGTCCGTTTTTATGTATCAATCAAATGTGTTGAAATGATGAAAGTATAGGTATTTGTAATATATTTTACATTGCAGCTACACGTTATGCATTTAGTGCATACCTGTCTGACAAGAACGAGGTACACACCGGTGGCAGCTTGAAGTTTATCAAATCCATCTCGAATGTCGGAGGAGCTTACAACAAACATACTGGTGTGTTTACGTCTGCAGTTGACGGGGTGTACGTCTTTCATTTCCACGCCACCACATATGGTTCTTCAAAGCATTGTACCCTCATTCTCTTGCATGGAAACAAGAACGTCACGAGTGCTTATGACTACGACAGATATGGATATTCTTCGTTGGGCAACTCTGCTGTTATAGAGATTAAAAAAGCAGAAGTTGTACATGTTGCAGTTACGTCATCGTTTGTAACAAGCTCTTGTTATTTGCGTGCTCGATTTACAACCTTCTCGGGTTTTAAATTACTCTAGTTAGAAAACCGGCAGTCTACAATAGCTTCAGTAGATAACACTTATATATAACTCTGTCTTTACTTTCTGCTTATGCGTGTTGCAATCTAGATCACTTGTATCTTATATTTTATTCTGGTTAGGTGCAAATGATTATGTACATATATTGTAACGCCCGTCAAAATTAATATTTTCCTACAGTTTTGAAATTCCTTTTAGTGTTCATATTCTTTTGAAAATCATTGATTATGTATTCAATATTTGGTAATAATTGAAGGGATTACATTTTCTATAAATCTGTTCATTTTACAAATTTGTTTGTTTTGTATTGTGTTACGGCCTATCGACAAATCAAATAATTAAATATTGTAGGAAATAACGTTTGCCAAACGAAATACCGTACATAAATCCATTTGAAGTTAAAAATGAAGAAAAAAATGTAAAGAACAGTTGAATGTGAATAATCATATGTTAATATAACATAACACAAACACTTTATATGTATGTGTGTGTAAACAGACCTTTTTAAGAATGAATTTACCACGCGTTTAATAACTACATATATAACAAATATAGAATTAAATTGTACAACTTCTTATCAGCAATATATCTATTTTTTCTTGATCTTTATATTTCGATTTGTTATTCCTTATTGTATATGTCTGCTTAGTGCTGTTTCCGAATAAATGTCATCATCAAAACTCAACTGTCAAATGGTTTTTTGTTTGTTTTTGTGTAAGACAAACGTATTATATCTTTCAAACTGGTACATTGTTTTTTTTAATGATGTCATGTTCAGATAATTTAAACCCGTGCAGGTTCGGGGAAAGAATAGGCCTGCTGCATCCCGTTGCATGATCAATAAGTATCAAACATGTTAGCATAATAGTAAGTCTCATGTGCTAAACATAAAATATAACTTTAATGATGTATTAATCAAGGTGACCATGCTTCATTTGATAAAGCCGTTACGTCTGTCAACAGGAAACGTATGCTGTCGTCGTCGTTGGAAAGATATGCAGTAAAGGTTTGAACTGCATCTCTTTTATTATTTGAGATGCATGTGGTAACATAGCTCCATTCAAACATGTCCTATTTTGGCGGGAACAGGGGCTTGTCAGACAAGAAAATCAATTTGAAATCCCCGTCCCAATTTAAATTCAATGTCACACCATGATTGGTTCCTCGATTGCCCTAACAGGATTGACGGAGAGACCCGAGTCTTCTCCGAGAGGCAAAACATACCTGTATGTTCGATTTGCTAGTTTCGGTTTTTAACAACATGCCACGAAAACTTTACAGTAAAACATGTGTTATTAGATTGCATTGAACTTCAGTCAACACGAGAAATGTTGTTTATAGTTATATAACAAATCTCAAATCTCTCTTCGAAACGATAGATTATACAATTCTACCCTACCTGAAAACTGTTAACCTGTTCAAATAGATATAACTAGCTATAGCTACGTTTGCTTTTTTTTTACGTTAGATCAAACAAATCTGGTAATAGATACGGAATACCGACACGATTTACACTGCATTATACAGTTGTATTGTCCTGATGTTAGGGGCCAAAAAGTTTGAAATCAAAATTGGTGTCAACTACTGTTGAAACAGAAGAGGCAGGACGTAAAACGGCTTAATTAATTCATTTCAATATTTAAATTGGTACAGCTAATTTCAAATTAAAACAAATGAAAACGTGTATATTATGAACTGTACCATTACTCAGAACGTACTTTTTGGGTCATCAATGTAACTTTGATATGTGTTTCCTATAAAAAATAAAAATAAAAATTATCTATCAAGTCAGGATTGTTATGGATTGCTTGTGCTTCCTACGTCCTATTAACAGCTGTTGGCATTAACGGACGAATCAGGACAACTTCACGACAGAGCTTTCATTTTTAGTTACCTTACAGAGTTATCATAAATTATTAAAAATAAACAGGGCCAAATTACTGTTTGCAAAATATTTTTCGTATGATTTGTTGCTTCCCTATCTAAGATGTTTACATGACGCAGGTGAAACGGTGTTCAACAGCTTGCAATGAAAATATAAACTAACATAACTGATACCAACTGGTGACGAGCAAACTTATAACACAAGGCTTGGAGCGATGCAGGTTGATGAAGTCTGCTGGCAAATTAAATGGTCGCCATCATATTCTCACTCGGAAATATAATATTCAATTTCATTATGTAATTTTTTCCACATTAGTTGTCCTTGTGGTTTCGTTTCCAATCGTTTCATTTCTGACTTTGTGGATATGATAAAGATCGCAAACGGCTGGGTTGCGGCTATCGACCCAAATACTTACCTGAAACCTGCAAGAAGAGGAAGACGAATCACGAAGCATACAAAAACATCACCAAGACTTTATTACACCAAGCAACGTATTACAATCTACAATCAAAAACAATACTAAAAGCTTTGAAGTCCAAAGTGCCAAAACAGACCGTTTCCGAAATTCATTTTTCATAAGAACAGTGATTGACTGGAACCACCTGGAAGAAAATATTGTGTCGCTAAATAAAGTGGAGGAATTTAAATCGGCTCTCCTCCATAGTGACTAGAAAGTGCGCGCTGCTCTCTCTTTACCCTGTTCATCAAGCCTGTATTGGTATCTGAACCGTACTTATCCAGATCCAGATACATTTGACTTGACTGAGAGTTGTATGGCGAGTGTCGTCGATGGAGCAGATGAATCTTACCCTTCCGGAGCAAAAGGTCACGTGATCCTTGTACTTTATATTCGTTGGTCTTGGTGTTAATCTTTAATGTGTATTTGTTTAAATGTTGTCATAGCCTCATCGATTGTAAGTTTGAAATGCGTATTTGTTCACACCTGGGTAATCTCTTGTTGTTCTTAAAAGGTATATCGTGACTTCATTCGGCGGTATAAAGGCGAAGGTAAAGTTACTAAATTCAAAATCGCAAGTTTAACACATCGTCAAAATATTACGTATTTCTTAGCAAGCTTCCGCGCAGCTTTATTTTTGGACCAATCCTTGACTATTGGGTAGACCATTTAGAATTAAAAGCGTCAACACACACTTTCAAAATACATAATGTACCACAGGTTCAACCCCCGGCGGACAATATACACCTCCGGGTCAACATACAAGGACAGTTTATACCACAGATCAGGGTCAATAATCACGGACAAAATCAACACACAAAATAAACATTAACGAAAACATATATATAACTGCGTCAACACATGGACAAAAAACAACAATATCATTACACATAGACCAAATATATGACACTGAATCAACACTCGTGGACAAACAAATCGCACTGTCAACACACGGACAAATATACAACAACCTCAAAACACACACGGATAACTTATACCACAGTGTCAATGAACAAAGGAAACGACCGTCCACGGATTAGTACACACGGACCATATTCAACAGAGATTAACATCAAGGAATACATCAGCGTTAACACACAAGGACAAAATTTCTAAGATAAGATAAGATAAAATAAATTTTATCTAAAGTCGGTGGGCATTTTAAAAACAAATAACATGAACTCTATAGGGCTTTTGACCGACATAGATGTTACATACAAAGACATTCACACTTGGACAAGTCAGACATATTAACACTTTGGAAATGAACATACTATATAAGATAAAACACTTTAGATTTCGAGCTATTATCAGTATAGACACATTTTACACATTGTAGTTTGAACAATATATCTAGCATATGTTTAAAACACAACAGATTTCATATGATATAGTAAATAAATTAGCACTGATCTGATAAAATACATTTGAAAATTGATATAGGACAGGTGTGTAGAAGTTGAATCGTGATTTAGAGGCGTTAAACGTATGGTTTAGTTAACTGTTTAATCATATTTATTGCCAAAATTAGACAAAAGATTAGGCACAAGTTATAACAACTTATCAACGCCTTCTCCCAATATACATTTTAAATGACATTACAATAATGACAATAAATATATACAATTGTTGTTACAAATTGAACTCAAAATCTCTTGCTGGATTTAATAAGTTTATTTATTATGCATCTAATACAATAGTTGAAGGTTTCTCCGTCTTCTGCGATGAGATAAAGTTTCAAGACCAGTCTCATAATAATAAGTATCAATAGGGGTACATGAAGGTCCTAATATAATGCGAGCAGCTTCACGTTGGACTTTTTCTAACCTTCCCGTTTCAAAAATAGTGCAACCGTCCAACAACTCACAAGCATATTCTAAAACAGGTAAAATAAAAGTATTGTATATTATTAAAATAGCATCCCTACTTAATAAGTGTTTCAGTTGCTTAAGACTTTATTTTTTTTCATAACAGAAGTGTAAAATCCCATTTACATGATCCCCCACTTTGCATTCTAATTAAAAGTTACCCCTTAAATGTTTATGATAATCTGTAAAGTTTAAGACTTTCCCATCAAATTCGATATCAATTGAATTCGAAATAAGCAATACATGAAGTTGACTTTAGTAATGCTATATCATCTCCAAAGAGACGAGACGTTGATTCAAAAATATCTGCTATGTCATTAATAAATATAAGAAATAAAAGTGGGCCAAGAATAGAGCCTTGCGGAACCCCTGCCTCAAAAAGACCTACAATGAATATGTACTGTTTAAAAATACCTTTTGGTGTCTCTGAGACAAATAATTTTCTAATCATATAAGCAATTCACCTGAAATTCCGTACGATTTTAACTACACCACCAGACCTCTATGCCAAACCCTATCAAAAGCTTTGGATACATTTAGTTTGTATGTCACAGAATACAACACAAGTATGTTTTTTTCTTCAAGTGCAATACAAATTTGGTGATAAATATCAGTGAGTTGATACACTGTAGAATCACCATGTAGAATGACCATGTCTAAAACCAGATGATATTTGTAAAACAAAGATTTTTTTATAAAGTGGTTGTACAAATGTTTAAAAATCATTCTTTCAAAAACTTTACCAACAGTGGACAGCAAGGGAAATGGTCTATAATTCGAAGGAGAATGTCTGTCACCCTTTTTAAACAATGGCATGATATTAGCTTATTTCCATTTATTTGGATAAATCTCTGTTGATAAGGACATATTAAATGTTATTTCGAGCGGAGTACAAACAGTGTTAGCAGTATTTCTTAGCATATGGTGTCTGATTCCATCCCCACCCGAGGCCTTGCCGAGCTTCAATATCTGTAGAACATCGCGTATTTCAGTTGAATCTAATCTAATTGAACTAATTTGTTTGTCAGATTTTGGCTCAATAATCGGAACATCGGTGTTACTGTCATCTACTCTAGTGATACTACAAAAATAGTTATTTAATAATTCAGCTTTATCTTCATCTCTAGTAACTATGTCATTAGTAATAGGATCGATTAAGGAATGCATAGTTTGTAAAGTATCAGACGTTTTAATTAACTTTTTAATTAATTTCCAATAAGACTTAGGATCAGAAAATGAGTACCGATCAATAATATCATAAACATTTTCATAAAAAGTAACACGTGCATGCTTTTTCATATTATTAACTTTGTTTCGCTGTGATTTGAATTTATTGATATCTACCAAACGTTTGGTTGACCTCGCTATTTTATGTAACCTATCCCTAATTCTTATTTGTTTTCGAAGCTCAGAGGTCATCCATGGCTTATCATTAAGTTTTAAATTTACTTCTTTACTAAGAATACACTCATTGGCAAAAGAT